TAGGAAATGTTTGTCTTCATTTAGAAAGGAAGTCAGCCCCTAACACTGTTGTAATAACAGTTGTATATATTTGTCAGGATTTGAACGGAGCGCGTGCTCATGATTTGTTTATGAAGAGTGTGTGAAGTGGAAGTACTTGTCCTTCGGGACATCTGTTGAAATTGGAACGATACAGAGAGTGAAGATTAGCACGGGCCCTGCGCGAGGATGACACGCGGAAATCGAGAAATGGTGCAATTTTTTTTTCGGGAACAAAAGAGAAGAACTTGTGCAGTCTTACGGTGTACTGCTCAGTCCCAAGGTGGGTGGGTGGTGGGGTGCAGGGGCGGCATTGTGTTTCGATAAAATGCCCTCGCTAGTTAGTACACACTTCTTTTGTATTAGTCGCCAGTTTCTTTCTGTAGCAGAGTCGGGACGGTACTGGCCTAGCTCAGTTGGTACACCCACGAGCCGTTGAAATACAGACCCAAGCTCTCTTGCCTTTACCTGGAGGTGGTCAGTGAAAAAAATAGGATGGTGAATTTTGCAACCTGCTTGCTTCGCATACACACCTTTATGCACATGTGTGACTTTCTCTCTCTGTTGTCCTTTGTACGGCAGTTTGTTCTGTTGTTTATGCCCTCCGATATCGCAGCTTTCCCGCTTGCACAGAACCTTTAGTGTGACTGGCTGACATGGGAGAGATAGGGGAGTCTGACGAAGCCTTCCCTGCGGCAGCGTCTGTGCTCGGATTTGCCTGACGGCAGCGCTCGGACGACTGCTTGGTTGGATATACAGTTGGGTGAGAGGACTGGCACCCTATCTGTCCTCATCCTAGAGAGAGAGAGAGAGAGAGAGAGAGAGAGAGAGAGAGAGAGAGAGAGAGAGAGAGAGAGAGAGAGAGAGAGAGAGAGAGAGAGGGATTTGACTGGTTTCTGACGTTACTTCCGCTACTGGCCTCTGTTGTTTACAGGTGTTGATCTGGTTGTGCCAGAAGCGGTAATGGCGGCTTTTTTGAGCTACTGCCTGGTTGGCTAGTTTCTCCTCTGTCTGCATCCCTGCAGGTGGGTGGTTATAACCAGTGTGAACAGTGTTGGTGTACTTTGTTGTTTGGGTGCAACGCACTTCAGTTGCTATGGTCGTCTTTACTCTACATAGCCTGAAGGAACGACTCCCTTGGATGCCCAGAACACAACGAACGCTGATGATGAATGTATACAAGCTATCTTTCTTTCTGGTCCGGTACAGCCATGACGAGGAAGTGTTGTGTTTGGCGGACGACAGCAGTGTCCACCCCTCCCTGGTCTGCGCCAAACCGCAACTAACAGCCATAATGACAAAGTGTTGTGTTTGGCGGAAGACAGAACTGTCCCCCCTCCACGGTCTGCGTCAAACCGCAACGAACTCCTACAGTGGTCCCAGTTACGAGGAGGTTTGCCACTTTTCTTTTCTTTTTTTTTTTTTTTTTTTTTTTTTTTTTTTTTTTTTAAAGTGGGATTGATGGCGAGATTGCCACAGGTTGCCTCGATGCGTGGCGTTTCCAGCAGCAAGTGGCGGGTCAGTGGGAGGTCATAACAGTGGTAGACCTTAAGGGCCGTGGTTCCTCCGCTAGGGTCCCGCCGCTGGGATCGTGGATCCCACCCAAGGCCTAATGGAGGATCCACGTCCCCCAAGGCCTAACGGAGGATCTACCTCCCCCAAGGCCTAACGGAGGATCTACCTCCCCCATACCTCCTCCAAGGCCCAACAGAGGATCCACGACCCCAAGGCCTCACGGAGGATCCACGGCCCTCACGGCCCCCAAGGCCTCACGGAGGATCCACGGCTCTCACGGCTCCCAAGGCCTCACGGAGGATCCAGTGGCCCCACGTCCCCGAAGGCCTAACGGAGGATCCACGGCCCCCAGGTCTACACCACCGCAACGGGGGATCCACGGCGCCCCTACCGACCCTTTGCCCCCCTGCCATTGGGTCCCATCAGGCTCAACGCTGTATTAGGAGGGGTCTTGAGCCATGGACTGCTAATAAAAGAGGGCTTCGGGAGGCGTGTCGTTGTTTTGTTGTTTTGCACAATACAGCAGTCCAGCATGGCCTTTTTTTTTGTCGGAGGCTCAGAGGTGGTGGTTGTGAACCCCTCCAGCTTGCAGTTATCTTCAGTTCACATTATGTTCAAATAACTGCAAGCTGTGGACCCCCCCCCCCCTCCTTTTGACCCCGTTGGTTGTTATGGGGGTTGGCTTTCTCTCCTTGGAGTTGGAACTGCAGTTATTTTCGATCAGAAGCCTATTACTCCATGGCCATGCAATCTGGAGGGGGCTGCGCAGATTCTGGTGTTCAGCCATTTCTGGCTCTTGTCTCGTCCTTAATAAGAAAATAATAGTTGAAAAAAAAGGGGAGATAGCCTGTACTGTTGCTGTATCTGATAGGTTTTCGGCCTGCCATCTGCTTATTCGACGTTTCCAAGCTTAGGTAGTGTAGTGACCGTAGGATTGAACTGCCGATGCGATTGTTCTGCTGCGTGCTACATTGATCATCCCTCTAGTGCATTTCGTCAACCCTCTCCTCCTCCTCCTCCTCCTCCTCCTCCTCCTCCTCTCCTCCTCCTCCTCCTCCTCCTCTGCTGAACCTCCTCCCCTGGATTCACCCAACCTCCTCCGTCCACACACTACCTATATCTCTTTACCTCACCTTGTTTGAATCCCTGGCCTTTTCTCACACTGGCTGGCAACGTTGTTTGGCCCCCCCTGGAAGCTTCTTTTCCACCTTCTCCGGGCCCCGGTCTGCAACTGCACCCTCTCCAAACGTCTCGCTGTGCCATATCTGGTCTTTGTCAGATCGTCACCTTATCCTGACGTGTGTCCTCCTCTCGGTCCTCTTATATAACCTGTGCCCTGATTTTTTCTCACGCTTCTTCCCCCCTCTCCCTTCTGAACCTCCGTCCTCTTGCTTGCCGGCATTGAAACTCCTCCCCTCCTCTTCACACCTCCTCTTCACGCAATCTGGTATCCTGCTCTCTGCGAACCTTCTTCTACCTTGCGTTGCCTGATCTCCTCCTCTTCCCTTTTGCACAACTCTGTCCTCTTTCTCCGAACTTCTCCCTGGCTATCCTCCGAACCGTCTTCTTCCTTGCCGTCCTCCGGACTTCCTCTCTCATCATCTTCGCCGAATGCTCTCTCCCTCATCCCAAATTTCACCAAAACCCTCTCCAAACCTTGGCGAAACCTTGTCCAAACCTTCTTCAACCCGGTCCCAATCCCGTCGCGGAATGTTCTTCAAACTTCTGCAAACCTTCTCCAAAGCTTCTGCAAACCACTGTCTCCGAATGTTCAGAAACTCCTCCCTCTCTCCCTTTCGGAATCCTCCCTCATCTCTGAACCTGGTCGGCTTTTCAGTTTCTCTTAGCCCCGTTTACCTTTCGTAAACCACAATTGCGTCCGAAATAGTTTGCCCACCCAGCCTAAGGTTTTGGTTGCAGGGTTTGGTCCAACCCTAAACAGAAAAAACTTCAAAAAAGGTTTTTCAGTACTTTCTACATCCAGAAATTACTCTAGGGCTTGGCAGCGGCAGGTGCCCAAAAGGGGAGGGGGGGGGGGGGGGAGGGGGGAGCATTTTTGAAATTGGCCTTGCCCAAGCCTGTCTGGCTCGCCGGTAGTCACTTCCGCTGAACATAACACACACCCTCATCACGACTGTATTGGACCAGAAAGGTACCTTGTATACATCATTGATCAGGGTGCGTTGTGTTTGGGGCAAGACGTCATGCACGAAAAGAGGCGTCGGACAAATGCAGTGACGGTTGTCTTATTCTCCCAACCGCCTCCTCCATCCTCATGTCAACCTCTGTCTCTCCCCGGATCGCTCCCACGCGTATTTTCTCGGAATTCCCTCCCTTGGTCTCAAATTTATCCATGGCCTTCTCCATTTTTTTTATTTTTTATTTTGGATAAAGAAATGGACCATTTCTTGATTTATGCGTGTCATCCTTACGCAGGGGCGATGCTAATCTTCTCTTTTCTCTGTATCGTACTATCGTTCCAATTTTAATGTATGTCCCGAAGGACACCTGCTATAACTTTCTCACCCACCCCTTTCTTTCAGCTTCCTCTCTCCCCTTCGTCCCGTGTCTTTTGGTGACCTCTTCGTGTGTCTTCTCCTGCCTGTCTCAGTCACCTGTCCCACTTTCCGGGGTTTGCCTCCATGCCTATCGGTGAATCTCCTGTCCGGGCCCCCTGTCCCACCTTCGGGGGCTCGTCTGCGTTTCCCATCTGTGAACCTCCTTTCTCCCCTTCAGATGTTCTCTGCATGTATTTCTTGAACCTGCTCCCTTGCGTTCTGACGTCAGTTAATGCCATATTGATTTATTCAAGAAAGTCTTGAGTGGGAGCATATGCCCTTAACGGATAAATGCTTGTTTAAAAAAAAAAAAAAAAAAAAAAAAAAAAAAAATTTTATTTTAAAAAATAAAAAAAAAAACAGATGGATGGGTAAAAAAATACTAAAAATGGGTAAGAGCTCGTTTTTAGTAACTTTCACTTTACCAGCCGCAGGTAGTTCATTTTTTTTTTTTTTTTCGATTCATCTAGTTCCCCATTCGGTTTCAAAGACAGGTGTGTATTTTGACAGTACATGGGTGTCCCCACTGGCTGAGTAAGGGAGCTTAAAAGTTAAAAGCATGGAGGAGAGGGGCTTGAAACGGAACCGTGCTCTGTGAAATGGAGGATATGCAGCCAGGAGGCCCCTAAGGACCTGTTTTTATTTATTTATTTATTTCTGTGACATGGAGCACGAGCGACTGACACTGATTTCATGTGTGAAAATTGTGAATGGCCGGCGGATGACCGTTCTTCTTTTGCAGGATGCCAGCGTGACGATGACGGTTCTTTGGGCAGATCATCGGTTAACGTGCTCTCTACTCGAATTCGGGCTTCTTCTCAAGAAGGTACTAACGTGCTCTCTACTCCAGTCCGGGCTTTTCTCAAGAAGTATCCAATTTACGATTAACAGCATAGTTGCTTTTCTCAAGAAGGCTTATCAGTCGATTAACAGAATCGTTGATAGACTCAGACGCTGAACGATTCTGTTAATCGACTGATAAGCAGAAATAAAGACGAAGGTTTTGAGATCTTGACCACGGTGGTGACTTGCGTAGCGTGTTTGGTACAAGTCTTTCGGTGATCAAGAGGAATCTGACCGCAACCCGGAAGTCCTGGTAGTTTGCGTGAAGGGCCTCAGTCCACCACTCACCAAATGTGCAAAATGAGAATGCATCTTCCTCTCGAACATAGCAAGCTACGCCGCCATTTTTTTTGTCTTTTGTGCATTTGGTGAGTAGTGGAGCGAGGTGAGCCTGAAGTCTGGACGTCTGCAATTCATGGTTTCCAGGTCAGTGGAATTCCATGAAGTACTGGGTGGCGCCAAGCAGTTAGAACTGTTAGATAGATAAGAGGAAAGTACTCTCGGCCCTAGGGGACATCCGCTAAAACTGGAAAGCTACAGAGGCGTTTTTTTTTTTGTTTTCTGCACCTCCCCCCCCCCCCCCGGTCTCCCCCTGAAGAGAAGATTTGCATCGCCCCAGGCAAATCGAGAAATGGTTTTTAAATTTTAATAGGGAAGAAAGTAGGTTTTTTTTTTTGGAAGAGACGGCGTCTGCAGCAGATTCATTTTGGAGTGTGTGGGGCAGAAGGGCGGCAGAGATATGCGGCTGTGTGAAATGATGAACTTGCTGCTCCTGTGTTGTGTGAGGGTAGTTGTTAGCAGACCTGCTGGCGATGATCGGACTCGGGTAGGAGAAATTTCCTCTCTGGCTCGAGGAGAAGTTTCCTCTCTGGCTGTGTGAGATATTGGAGTCCTTTTACTGGAAAGATTCAGTGGGGCAAATACGGAAGGGGGTTCAGGCAGGACAACTGCTCTGCAAGTGAGAAATGGCCATGCTTATACCCCCTTTTTCCACCCCTCCCCTTCCCCCCCCCCCCGGGCATCACCTCTCGGTGATAAGCTATAGATAACTTGTGCGTTTTTAAGGGTTGATTGGAGGTGTGAACTGAAAAAAAGTGTACGGTCTGTTTAGCAGCTTTTGATGGTGTAGACTTCCTGCAGTGTGGTGGTGATGATCAGGAAGGAGAGATTGTGGGCTTGAAAGTTTGAGGATGGGCAGTTGTAGTTGGTAGGTTCTTGCTGAGGTTGTCTTCGCCTTTTCAGTACGCTGCATGGGAGCATCTTGGGACACCCTTCTGGTTGGTCCTGGGCCACGACCTACTTGGGAACCTTCGGGACTCAGTGGGATAGGAGGAGGATGGGGGAAGATAGAGGAGACAATGAGTAGAGGAGAGGGAGAGAGGGGATGGGGGGGAGTGGTGGGGAGGGGATGGCTAACGGAGAGCATGAATCAGTTCAGAAGATGGAAGGCTGTGGTAATGGACTGTGCTGCTGTGGGAGGGAAGCGCAGAAATGCAGCTGGAGGTTGTTGTTCCACCCGTCCTTTTGAGAGTGGGACATGTAGGTAGGAGACATTATTGACTTGAAGTTTTATTTTTTATTTTTTATTAAAGTGGTAGGCGGGGAGCTGTAATCTCCCATCGATTTATGCGGTTGATTTATACAGTATATCCGTGATGCCACGGTGTATGGGGAGGGGCATTAGGAGGAGGAAAGAGGGGTGGTGAGAATCCTTTTTATATAATTGCCGAGGGACAGCAGGCGGGGTGAAGAGGAGGGTAGGGATATGAGGAGGAGGGGTTGTTCTCCCATGCCTGAAGGGTGAACGCCCAGGTGGTGCTGCAGTTTGTTTCCCTTAGGTGGGTGCTTTTACCTTTCTCCGGTCTTGTGCATTGATTTGTCCATTTGGTCTGTTTTTGCTTCCCTTGCGCACGGATCTCTGTCCTTAATGCTCTACGTTATTATGTCTCGAGGACAGGATTTGAACCGTTAACCTCTTCATCAAGACTTTTAAAGTGTGTACTACGTGTGTACTATGTATGTACTTTTAAGGTGTGTACTATGTATGTACTATGTATGTAGCCATCTGCCAAAAGACTGTGGGCGTTCGTGGCAGCCTCCCGATGTTTGTTTTGTGCGTTTCCTGAACTGCAGGTGTCGGTGGCGAGAGCCCATTTTTTTTCGTTTTCTTTTTATTTGTCGTTGTCGTTGTCGCAATGGGTACTTGCTATTGAGCTCATGATCTGACGGTGGAGGTTGGGGATTCCAAACAGTACCACTCGGAAGGTTTTTACTGGGGGTGGGAGGGGGGGAGGAGGGCGGTGAGCATCATCAGACCGTGAACAATTCTGGAGCGATGATTATCGATCTGATTTCTCTAAAACTGGCTGACTACAACAGCACCCTGAACTCTGCAGGTTGGTGGTGGGCTGTTATAGTCAGTGCCCCCCCACTTCCCCCCCCCAAAAAAAAGGGGGGGGGGGGGAGTTTAAGGGGTTCAGCTCTCTGTTGTGAGCTCAATTGTAGTGTTGCTGCAGATGTGCGCAGGAATGGCCTGATTGTGGCCCTCATGTGAAAGAAGTTCACAACACTCCATCATTGCACTAACCCCTAAACCTCTTAAACCCCTCTTAAAACCCCTCTTAAAACCCCTCTGAAACCCCTCTGAAACCCCTCTGAAACCCCTCTGAAACCCCTTTGAAACCCCTCTGAAACCCCTCTGAAACCCTCTGAAACCCACTTCAACTCTCTGAAAATGCTCTGAGAATGCTCCGAAAGTTCTCTTAAGCCCTCTGAAAATCCGCTGAAAATCCTCTTAAACCCCTAAACAAACCCCTGAACATCCTTTAGGGAAGTTTAGATCATAGAATTACAGACCTGTTATACAGCCCAGTTCCCGCCCGGATTTGTAACTTGCAAGGTGCTCTACGGTAGCACTGCCCGTAGATCACTCCATGGTGCCGAGAAATGTGCACATGATTCGCGATCCGGCGAAAACGTGTCCAGCCCAGCGGAAGTGGACGCATAGATCAATCCGTGGACACGTCTTGATTCATTACAATCCGGGAACTGGGCCCATCGTCGCTTACGTGTTGAAACATGGGCCAACAAACAAGCGAGGCCACGAGATCGAGCCCCTGGCCACAAAAGGAAAGGGAAAAGGAAGGAAGGAGGGAATGCAAATTTCAATTCTGACATTCAGTCTGCACATCTACGACGCCATCAGTCCTGTAAGAGCAAAGCCCAATGGTTCGGAAAGTGTCGACGGGCTTTTGAGGTACCAGTCCCCGTATAACTCTTTTTCTGGACCTGCAGTGCCCTATCTGTAATGATCGCCTGTTTGAATCCAACCAAAGTTCGTTTTTTTTTTTTTTTTTTTTTTTTTGTTGTTGTTGTTGTTGTTGTTGTTGTGTGCTGGGAACTTCTTTGGTCGCTGCACGGCCAGGCCACCCGGGCAAACAAGGGGACCAGGGCCGCCCGGCTGGTAGTCTAGCCCACCAGAGTATGTTTCCCAGCCATTTTTCTCCAATGTGGCCACACACTTGCTGCAACTTTTGGGGGTCAGTTGCTGCAGCGGCCGAAAGGATGCCCATGTCGGTTCGTTTGTTTTGGGGCACAGGGCGTTTCGAGCCTCGGGAAAAAGAGGCGGGGAAGTACTGGTGGTTTAAGCAGTTTAATAGAATACTTTACCGGAGTACGAATTGTAGGCGGAGTGAGGTGGTCACCAGGTCTCACTGTCGCAATCGCAGGCCACAAAATAGTAGCACCTCTTAAGGGTACACAGTATTGGGTGGGGGGCATCATGCATCTGGTACCTATCTGTGTACCAGGAATGGTGCAGATGGTACGATGGTGGGGCACATTATGTACCCGGTACACCGTGGCACATACCTGTGTACCAGGAACGGTACCATGGCGAGCCTCATTGTGTACCTGGTACACCCTGGTATTTACCTGTGTACCAGGAATGGTGCAGATGGTACCATGATGGGCTGCATCTTGTACCACGGTGCACTACATCATGTACCTGGTCCACCCTGGCATCTACCTCTGTACCGGGAACAGTGCAGATGGGACCATGGTGGGACGCATGTTGTACCCGGTATGCTATGGTGGTGTATGGTTTCATATATGTACCAGGTGCAAATTTCAGCATGCGCAACATGAATGACATGCTTGCTGCGTGCGGTATATTCCCATGTTGGGACAGGTTGGCACCAGTTCTCTCTAGTCAGTGTGATCAATTGTATTGACTGGGCTGAAGACAGGGGCCCAATTGGGACAGCATCAGAAATGGGTCCAAGATGGGTCCCAAGACACAGGGGTGCAATTGGGACAGGCCCCTGTCTTGGGCCCGGTTCTGATGCTGTCCCAACTGGGCCCCTGTCTTGGGCCCAGTTTTGGATCAGTTGTGATGCTGTCCCAATTGCACTCTTGTCTTGGGCCTACTGCCCAGTTCTGATCCCAATTTGGGCATCATCAGAACTACGTCCAAGGCGGGGAGCGGATTGTGACACTGTCAGAATGGGGTCTAAGACGGGCCGACTTGGCACAGGACCTAATTTGGGGCGCTATCTGACCCCCCTTCCCTTGGTGCTACTGTGGCACCAAGGGCAGGGGGGCGCAGGCTGACTACCTTACTTTACCCGAAGAGAACATCCAGTCACTAAAGCTATATGTATCTGTGTCATCTTTCAGTCTGGATACAGAAGTAATGTCAGGGCGGTCTATTCACGTAAACATGGTATTACCCTCATGATGTGCCCGAGCTGGCTTGAACTGCTCACTTGTATCGCCGTAGAGAGGGAAAAAAAAGAAAAAAGAAGAAGAAAAGGTGTAAAGCCATGGATGTTTTTGTTCCACTGCGGCTCTGCAGTTTCCTCACTAAAACTCTGGTTGATTTTTTTTGTTCCGTTTTTTTGAAGTGTGAACTAACTTAACTGCGGTTGATTTTGGTGCTGTATGCATGCGAAATTGTGCACTCACTGTAACTGTTGACATCAACATACATCTGGAAGGGTCCCTCTTCCCCCCCCCCCCCGGCCTCCTTAAATAAAGGGACAAAGCTCCAATCTATATTCGTAGGGAGCAACACATACTGAGGCCAGCATCCCTTATGAAAGCGTACCGAAAAAAAATATGCTTCACTAGGACACAACCATTGCCGGGGGCGTCTGGAAGGGTATTTTGGGAGGGTAGAGGAATTTATGCTTCACTAGGACACAATCATTTCTGCAGAAACCCCTTATCGCATGCAGCGTGATGTCTCC